AGTTTCAACTTCATCCAAAAAGAAGTTTTTGTAATAAGAGAGAAATTGTGGTTTTTGTTTTGTCCTTGTTTTCAAAATGTCTATCTACTTTTAAATTTTGATTTTTAATTTTAAAAAGATCATGCGTGAGAACATGGCTCCTTAGTTAGTTAGTTAGTTAGTTAGTTAGTTAGTTAGTTAGTTAGTGGTAGTTAGTTAGTTAGTTAGTTAGTTAGTTAGTTATGCTATATCTTGAAAAGCCTGAGGAGATTTGTAAATTTAGTAGACTCAAAATCGAGGTGGTTTGAGGCTTTACTTTACAGAATATAGCACTATTACGGTGGCCACTTGCCACCTGCTAATTTTCCCCACGGATTTTTTTTCTACCAGAGAGTTATTCCCCAAGCTATTTCCTCCCCCCTCGAATTTTTTTCAATGCATTGTTCCTCCTAGTTTTCCTATTGATTTTTTTCCATCAGGTTATTTTCATTATACTTTATAAGAGAGAGAACATATTTTAATTTATATATTTTTTGTTTTCACTATATCAATTAATTATTATCTAGTCGTTGTAAGGCACTAAAAAGGTGCGCCGATGATACAAAGCGTTATTCAATCAATTGACTATTGACTATTGGGCATTCGCAATACAGTATTGATGAAGCCTAGCATTGTAGAAACGTTTTGAAAGTTTAAATCCGGTTTTACATAAGAAAACAGGATATATTTATAACATTTTTCCTCTTTTGGTATTTTGATATCACACCTATTTTCTAGTCGTTCTATATACCCATATTTTTCTGCATCCACAAAAAACACTCTGGCAAGTAGCGGAAGTATTATTTCTGTACTTCTACAGTACTTTTGAGGTCAATGCCCATTAGTGATTCTCTTCTACGATACGCCTACTTTTATTTCAAATTATGTGTTACGGTTGATGGTAGCAAATACGCCTATATCATTAAATATATTTCATTTAATTAATATTATTTAATTTGTTTATCAGAAAATTTGATCAATATATGTATAAAGTATGCGTATTATATAATTTTTTAATGTTATAGGTCTATGTTACGAACGTTTATTATACACCGAATGAAATTTCTTATTGTTTTAACCAACTAGGATATGAACAGAATATAATTATGTACGTTTTCTTTGCTTAAAGTTACAGAATTTGTTACTATATATTGTAACAAAAAGTAGAATTTAAAATTACCAAATTATAACGACTTCCTTAATGACCGGTACTCAGATATTAGGCATATATTTTGGCCCGTGAGCCCAACTCAAAATAAATGTTGGCCTTTTAAACAAATTAGTTAAGAATCAGGGGTGTAGGAGTATAACAGGAGGGGTAGAAAGAGTGTTGAATGTTAGGAAAGGTTCACCACCGCAGCCTATTTATTTTTTGTTTGATTGTTTGAGTAATGAATGTTTGTGCACATAGTTCGTGTGCTCAAATTAAACATAGGCCTAT